TGGGATACAAGTAAAAAAAACTTTATCATAGTGGGTTAAACAATGAAGCCACATAAGAATATAACAGACTTCAAAGGCTTGAGGGTTTGACAAATTTCACCAATAAATGGAATTGCCTTATCAATGAGAGTTACCAATAGCAACTTCATCATACATAGCAATCAATACGTGCACGCAGTTCTTCTTCTTACTCCATTGGATAATCAAAAGCAAAATCAAAATGTTACCAAATTAACATGGCAATCCATATTCCATGCAGACAGATGGTGAGGCCACATGTTGGAGGGTTCAATCAAGAGTATTTTATAAGCACTGGTTAAGGTGTTATGTTTCCTTTGATTGATCTGTAGTGAGAGAGAACAGTTGACTGTGATCTATTGCCTTTCACCTTGGGTGATTACGAGATGGAAATTTCTTGTGGAAACAAAAAACATTGAAAGCGACTTACTTACAAATGATCTTTTTTGTAACTTTAAAAAGTGTTGGCTAGATTAGCAAGCATGCACTAATTTTAGTTTGGTTTTGGTGAACCTAACTACATGATTATTCGCGCACCATATGTCTCAATTTTATTTAGATGATGATCAAAGCAACGAGGTCGAGAAGGAAAGAGAGATAGACATGTGTCTAAATTATGTTTGTTACGAAAGAAATACATTCAAAAGGAATTAAAATCGTTTGAGATGTAAAGATATTGAGTCTGTGACTACTCTATTAGAATTATGTTTAAAACTTTTAATTGATTTATCACCACAAAGGAGGGACGAGGTGGAGGAAAGACCTAAGTTGTTTTTTGTAATATGTGCATTAGTTCAAGCTTTAAGAGGTTGGAGGTATCTTTCTTGAAGGCGAAAAAGAAGTGAACATAGGGAAAGTTTTTGCAGAGCCAGACGGTGTATGCCATGTTGGAGACCTAGAAATGAAAAGAGCATCACTTAAAAAGGAAGCCCAATGAAGTAATTCATGGGTCTATTTTGGTGACAAACAAACTCAAAGGAACTTGACAAAGAAAGTGGCTGGATCATAACTGCTGCCTTGACTGTTGAGGATGGATCATGATTTGGTTGGTTTGGCTTTGGGTTAGAAAAGCCATTCATTGTAAGTCCATTGACTGTGAAATTGGGCTTCACAAGTCATTTGGAATAATTTTGGGATTTTGGTCAATTCCATTTGACTTTCAGGGGTTATCTTTTGGATTTCGGAAGATGGGATACTCTGAAATGTAATTCTTTAGGTAAAGTTCATGAAATTATTCTAAAAATATGATAAATTAAAAATTTTAAATTGGAAATCAAATTCGATAAGTTGGTGGATCAGATAAAAATAAATAAATAATTAGAAAGTTTTTATTCCATTATTTTCAATAGTAAAACTTCACTATCTTGGCCTGAGGAACTTACCTAAGTGTTGTCCTATGAAAGATTTCAATATCCCATTATGTTGATCCCTTCATTTGTGAATCTTACTAGCTAGGTAATTCTTCATGATAGTGTATTTTTGGATATGATTAGGCAATTGAGGGAAGGGATTACACAATTTACAACTGACCCTAAATGGGTCATGCATGTCAATTTGTTTTTGGGCCTTGGGCCATGTTAGCTTGACAGCCCCTATTTATGAGTTGTGCTTGTTATGAAATTTTTCTTGTTTTCTGGATATATAATTTTGGATTATATAATCGAAGGTAACAGTTAAAATATTAAACTAATTTGCTTGCATAATCATTTTGACAAGTTTTATTTTATATAAATCTTACCAAGACATTTATATTTTATGTCAAATGAAACTTAATCTTTAAAATCCTATAAAAGATTTTTTCAGTCACAACTTACAGCTATGGATAGTGAGGAATATACAAGATAATACTGTTATTGATGGGTTGCAGTGGAGTTGTGTCTTTGTGTACACCATATGGCTACTTTGGTATTGGAGAAATCTTCTCATCTTTGATAGCTCTTTTACATGGCCTCATAATCCACAGCAGCAAATCTGGACAAAAACTAAAGAGGCCTTTGATATCTTAAGCAAAACTCAACAAAGGGTGAAACATGAAGTGATGATTACTTGGAAAAAACCGAGCAAGACATTTGTTAAACTAAATATCGATGGGAGAGCCAGAGGCCAACCTGGTGAAGCAGCGGCAGGTGGAATAATCCGTGATGACAAGCGAGGATGGATGCTGGGATTTATTTATAAAATTGACATAACTTTTCCACTAAATGCTGAGTTATGGGCATTATTCCAAGGTTTAAATTTGTGTTGGACAAGGGGATTTAGGAAGGTTCAAGTGGAGTCTGACTCTCTCCTTGCTATACAAAAATTGTCGATGGAAAGTAATATTTTAGACCCGAATGTGCATTTGTTGAGGAAAATAAAAGATCTACTCCTACGAGATTGGGATCGCAGAATATCTCACATACCTTGTGAAGCGAACCAATGTGCCGACTGGATGGCTACACATAATGATAATCTACCTTTGGGACTTAGTATTTTTTGAGTCTACTACTTCTAACATTGCTTCTCTTTTACTAGCTGATGTTTTAGGAGTTGCTTGGCTTAAAATGATACAATAAGTTATTCTATTTCCACTATATATAAAAAAAAAACAATGGTTTTCTTATTGCAAATATTTGTTCTTGACTTAAAATATAAATGAAATCTATTTTCAAAAGTCAACTCATCTAACTGTGAAATTGAAGAAGGTGCTGCTACCCTCTTGATATGATCGATCCTTTGTCAAACTAAAGCTTCTTGGAATGCTGGCAAGCATAAAAGGATTGATTATCTCTTTCAAGGGATTGATCCCCTTGAAAACAAAAGCGATATTAAGTAGACTAGAGAATCGATCTCTTAAGTTGTTTCAAGTTGTATAATGATCGGAATTTTGCAAGAAACAATGGCTCTTTCTCTCATTTAATGCAATCCAACGTCTCCAAGTTCTTTTTTTAAAGAAAATTAAGGGCATTAAGTGTTTAAGGTGAAAACTTGCAAATTAATTGCATCCAAGTCTTTTCCATTATCTTCAAAGTTGTAATTGTATTCATTTGACAAACAGTCAGTCTCGGGACATTTTTAGTTTGTAAAACATTGTTGGATTATTTCCCTTTTTTGAAGTTAAAGGAAGGGAAAATTTTAAAAAGAATTTGTGAGATTTGGTTCGAAAATTCCCTTAATTTATAAAGTTTATATCCAAACTTTAAAAAGATATAGTGACAAGGAAAGCTAGTGAAGAAGAGGATGTAGGTGTCATTGGTGAGGGACTGAACCTCTTGAGTTTGATATCTCTTCTCAACTCTTTTAATTTATTGCTATCTTTATTGATATCTCACAAGAATTTTATTAACGTTAAAGTTTGCTTCAAATTTTGGCAAATTCAGTTCACCTTCCTCTTAATTGGTTTATTTAATCATTGGAGGTAACAAGTTGCATAAGAGTATGCACTCTATTTTGTAAGTCTAAAAATATTATAGTGATCCAATGGCTCAAAGATATATGTTCAAAGAGGGATATTCTATCTACAAAGCATCAAGAATTGACGACTGTGGAGTTTTGAGAATGGAAGAAAAGAATGAAAGTGTACATGTGGGTACAAGGTGTAGAGATATGATATACTGTAGAAAAAGTATTTAGAGCTCCTTCAAATGATGAAAATTGGGATGGGAAGCACATTAAGCAAATGTAATTAAGCGTATAATATTTTCTCATATATTGCCACGATTAGGATCGACAGATTTTGACCACAACGACTTGATTGATTGGTTTCAATTAACTTATCTACTTATTGTTACGATTTTCTTGAAAGATTGACTTAGTTGTCGATGAGAAAACTTTTTCATCGACACTAATAAAAAAATTGATTATATATATATATATGAAAAATTACCTCCTTGGCTAAAACTCCCTCATTGCAATATTGTTAAATTAATGGACAATTTGTTATTTCATTTGACTTTGCAATGTTGTTAAATTTACTATTTTTTTTAATTAATTCAATAACAGGGATCGACGTTGGAAATAGGGTAAATCGTAGGCAGGTAATTCGCAGCACAAAGCGAAAACCAAAGTAATTTTAATTAACTTTTAACCCTCAAAAGACTTCTTGAAAACATAATGTAGGCAAGATTGTACTCTTATGACACTATGTCATTGTGTCATCGTGCCTTGTTACGATGAGCTGACTGAACTAGGTCCAGCCTTGGCCTTGGTCTAGTCCAGTCCATTAAACCTTGGTCCAAGGCTACCTCTTTCTTTTCCACATCTCAACATAATTAATTTCATAAGAAAAAAGTTGTCGATTATTTTAGGAAATCACAAATATGTTGAGATGTGGAAAAGGCTAAATTTATTGTTTAAAATCCTTTTTTCTGAAACTAATTGTGCAACAAAGCAACATAAGTTGCTCTGAAAATATCAAAATATAGCAACCACAAAAATGTTGTTAAAAAATCGTTTTTAAACAATTAATTATGCACCGATTAACAGAAATCATTATGAATATGTTAAGGTATTTCAATCCACGGGAAAGTGTAATTGAGTGTAAATATTTGTATGAAGACTCAATTAAATGTAATAAAAGAATAAAGGTTTAACTAAGTTTTTATAATTTTTTTTAAAATAATAATATTTTGTTTTAAAAGCTTTGCCAAAAGAATTGAGACAATATAATACCATTGTAATCTCTTACAAATCAACCTTTTGCCCCATTGTAGTGTTCAAAGAGGAACAAAAGAAGTCTTGCTTATTTTAGCTATATCAAGGGCTAATCAGCAACAGAAAACATATTTCTTCCCACTGCTGTAAGATAAAGGCAAAAATACATGAAAGTTTTCCTGTATCAATGCATAGTCATACATAAATCGAGTTTTCTACAGTCTAATGCTACTCTTTAATCCAAAAAAAGCAAAATAAAACAGCAAGTTCTAGGCACACACACAAGCATATAGGACCCAGTAATTCCAGGAACCCTAATCCAGACAAAACTCAAGCTTACGTTCCAATTGTTACACAAACCTTTGCCACTTTCTGACGACCTTAATGAACCACTCATGTTTCCTTGCGGTGAAGTTGTATCCATGAGACAGGCCAATTATTAGCCCAACACCATATCCTGTCAAAACTATCTTCCAACCAAACTTGAGCGAAGTCTCAATTCCTTCGTCTTCTTCGGAGGCCAAGGGAGGTGGGGGCTGCAAGACTTCAGGATTTCCACAATTTTTTGACAAAGGGTATCCACACAATCTTGAATTTTCCTCGTACGAATCATTATTAAACGTATTGAACTGTGCTCCTCGAGGTATAGGCCCTTCAAGATTGTTATAAGAGACTTTGAGGACTTCAAGGAAGTTAATGTTGGCTAGTTGCTCAGGGACTTTTCCCGAGAGCTTATTTCGAGAGAGGTCCAAAGATTCAAGGTTCTTAATTTCCCCCAATGATGATGGAATATGACCAGTGAGATTGTTATTTGAAAGGTTAAGCACACGAATTAGCTTCAAATCACCAATGGCTTCAGGGATTTCACCTTGGAACTTGTTGCTTGACAAATCAATAAATGACATGGAATCTGGAAGATTCTCATATATTAGGTCCCTGCCTTTATTAGCCAATGTAACTTCAAAATTATCATAATTAGACAACGGAAATTTTCTATTTTGAAAGTTTCTATTGCCATTCATATATGGGGATAAGCTCCTGCCTCTATTAGCCAATGTAGCTTCATAATCAGACCACGGACATTTTCTATATTGGAAGTTTGTGTTACCATTCATGTATGGGGATACGCTGTTTGTATTGGCAACTTTCATGGCATTCCAAATATTGAAGTACTCAGATGGTAACTTACCTCTTAAACTATTGTCTGAGAGGTCAATTACTTGCGAGTTGGAGAATTCCGATTTGGCTTGAGGTTTCCCTATGACATCATGCAATCCATTTGCTCTCAAGATGAATACCTTGAGTTCTGGAAGAGTACCCAACCAAGAAGGAAAGGTATCATTGATCAGATTGTTTCCAAGATTTAGAAATTCCAACTTGTTACAATGGGCTAGTG